TAAGTTATGCATGAAGTATTATGCATCTCATGTTAGCATGTGCACGTAGAGAAAGCGTTGCATAGCATTCAAGAAAGTTTTAAAAAAATACTTTTAAATGTAAATCCAGAGTTCAGTAAAGTTAAGAGATTGACAGGTCGTCGGCCTCCCAAGGAAGGAAATCTCAAAGAATAAGAGATCTCGGCTAGACCAGACAGTAAGTAGGGGCCCAGGCCCACAGTAGCAAGAACAGTAAGCAGGGGCCCAGGCCCACAGTAGTAAGAACAGAAAGCAGTTTTTGAAGCATGTTTCGCATGTACATTCCTGCATCATGACATTTTATGTAGTTTTACCAGTTTTAAGATGTGTGCATGTCTATACTTACTGAGCATTCGCTCATCAGTTTACTCGTGTGCAGGTAACACAGGTAAATAGCCAGCTATTTAGTAGTTTTGTTTGATGGACTGGTTGATGCAAGGTGACAGAAATGTCATGGGTTCACGGGAGTGGTGTCTACTTCACCCGCTTAGGAAAATTCCGCTGCAGAGTAATGTAGTCTTAGTAAAGAACAACAGACTGTAATAAATTTAGATAAGTTTCAGGGATAAATTTCATATCCGATATTATAAAGTATTAGCAAGATGTATTACTAATATAACAAAAGAACATGCTATGAACATGTTGAGAACCCGAGGGTTAGAAAAGAAAAAAAAATTCATTGTGTATTGACGTGATATAAAGAGGTTATAGTCTAGAACAAGTAATGGATTAGACTATAACTCAACCTACTAGTAGTAGTTTAAGGTTCGCGACCCGCCGCTAGGACGGAAGGCGTCACAGGTACCATTTTTAAAACCTAGTTAATAATCCATATTACTTTTTAGGTATAAACCAAGCTTAAACATTTTGAAAATGATGAATACTAATTCTCTTAAAGTGGTATTCCTCTTATAGATCAATCACCATGCAATTATATCCCATATTTTGAAGCTTTACTTTTACTTCACTCCTCTCTCTCTCTACCATTTTTTCAAACATGATATACCTCCATCCAAAAGTCCTGATCAAATGCCTTATTATCAATGCAATTTCTTTCTCTCTCTCTCTCTCTCTCCTCCCCCCCATGTCAACAATAATCAAGCGTTCCGTACGTTACTATCTCCATCCTAATTCCGTCTTTATGATCTTTAACGCGTTCTAGGACTTTTGCCTAATGCAACCATTGAAAAACTACACCAACAACTCACATATATACAACCCCATATGCCAACTCCCTCTTCTCACCTATAATCTTCTCTCCCATCTATGATCTATCCACACCCTCTACTACTTTACTCCTCACTTTTTCTTCCCCTTCCAAATTACTATGGCTTGCAACGAGAAGATCATCGCCACCCCACCATTAGACCTTCACCACCAAGAACCAGAAGAAGATGCACTTTCTTTCTGCGACCTTCCGATGGACAATAATATTGTCAAAAATACCGAACAAAAGGGAGCTAATATTATTAGTCCCACATCATCGGAAGATGATCAAGATCTCTTTGAGTTCTTCACTAGTCCCGAAGCAAAACCCGCTGCGGAAACGGAAACCATCGTTTTCTGCGGAAAGCGGATAGAACCCGCGAAACAGCCGAGCGAGTATGTGAAACGCCCGGGGAAAGGCCTTTCGCTTTTCATTAAGAAAGAGTCCTTCAAGAAATGCCAGTTCTATAAGCACTCCCGATCCGACGTCGTTTCAGCAAAAAGACCAGTTTCTCCTCGCGGTGTCGGCGGGAACCGTTCGGGCTCGTTTCGGTTCGGCGGTGGGCCCAACAAGACGGCGGGTATACCGGCTACCGGGAGTCACCGGTACAGCCGGAGTGGCAAAGGTGGGTCTCGGAAGCATAAGGTGATGATTGGGCTGGTGAAGCTCCAGCCGGAAATGGAGCTGAGTGAGATACGTAAGAGGCAAGGACGGCGGAGCCCGGCGCCGATGTTCCCGGCTACCGGCGTTACCGGTGAAGAGGCGGGGGGAAGAAGCCATTGGGGTATACTCAGGCCTTTGTGGTGTAGGGCCCACTTTGTGAGCGCATTGACTAAGGCGTCGTTTAGTTGCCTTTCTCATGCGTGAGAGTGGGAGAGTGTACACTCTATATACAGCGTCTGCGTCCGAAATAAGTTTGTTTTATTTATTTATTTTATTTTCCGTCACGAGTGTTTTTAATATCGATTGTTTTTTCTTGTTTATTTGTGTCTACTTTTATGATTTCCCTTTTTTTTTTTCCCTTGTTTATTTGTGTCTACTTTTATAATTTCCCTTTTTTTTTCCCTAAGATCCGTACTTATATATTTGTGTGTCTCTGTGAATTGGAACCTCTCGTGGACGTCTTATGTTGATGCCATATAACGGATAATTATATTATTCAAGAAATTTTTGTTGAAAAAAAAAGTTAGTTAAGACTTTACTTTAGCTCTTATTCAACCTTGTCATATTTGAGCTATAACATCATTTTAAGAGCATTTTAGTGCAATATATGCTAATACAAAGGGAAATTCTCACCACTTATAGACTTTCTAGTGCCCATTGCCCAATCACATAATGAAGAGGCAAATTTAAGTCTCGTTTACTTTACGGATTCGAGTTGAAATGTGACATTTTATGAGAATTTTTTATTGTAACAGAAAAAGTTAGATGTGACATTTTCTGAGAGCTTTTTACTCTAAAAATCTAAAATTAAAAACTCAAATCAGTGAAATGAATGAGATCTTAATTGAATTTTCTGAGAGCTTTTTACTGTAAAAATCTAAAATTAAAAACTCAAATCAGTGAAATGAACGAGATCTTAATTGGTTTGATCAAGTTGTTGGCCATCTGCGAAAATATCAATTGGAAAGAAATGAATATGGTAAATATTAATTTAGTTTTTACATATTGATTGGGAGGATTCCTTCCTTTCATTCTCTGCCATTGTGGTATTCCTTCCAAACCTCGCTCTATTACCTTTGTTCTCGCTCTGTTATCTTTGTTCCTCCAACTAGGAGAAGATTTTTTTTTTCTTTTTCTTTTTCCCCACGAATGTAGTTCAACCAATATGCTAACTTAAAATTATAATGCGATTATATTTTCTTAAACTTGTCTCTCTTTTTACTTTCATTTTATCTCACTAAAGTTTAGAGTCCCAAAGATATAAGTTTTTCAACTCATATAATATCAAAAGACAAGTTTCGTCACTGCCTCACTGGAATATAAGTAACTATTGTTACAATGTTCTCTATTTTACTAAATTTGTTCAAATTTTTTTATTAAATTTAAGAGATTAAAAATTAAGAAATTAAAATATTTATGTAACATTTGAATTTGGATGTTAAAAATTTTCATCAAGTGTGCCTTTTTAACACTAATTTAACACAATCAACATTAAAAAGGGATACATTGTAATAATTTTACAAATTAAGGGAGCAATTTGTCAAAATTAAATATGTAAAATACACTTATACAGCCAAACAAGACCACAAAAATTCAGGGTAACCCCAACATTTACTTATCTTTTCTCATTGCACATTTTATAAAAAATGGTAGAAATAAAAAAAAATATAAAAGAAGAATAAGAATAAGAACACTAAAAAACCCAACCCAGTTGCAAAAAAACACGTGTCATTTGTTTCGACAATGGCGTCAGCGACAATTTTGACAAGGGCTTCGATAAGAAGTACAACCTTGATGGGCTCCTCCTCCACCGCATCGGCCTCTGCCGTGGTTGGTGCCATTGAGGAGTTCATCGGATTTAGGCATTTCATTATATCGTGGTCGGTTTTCATCAGATGACGGAAAAGACTTGTAGATTTGAGTAGTTCATCATGTTTGAGTTATTTTTTTAACGATAAATTTATTTTGTTATTTTGGATGTATTAGATTGAATATGATGAATTTGTTGTCGTTTGGGTACTTGTGTTTGAAACTTTGAATCTGGTGATTTTTTTGAGACAGAGTAATGCAAATGAGAGCAGAAAGAAGAAAAAGAGCAACAATCAAATGTTTTAGGATGTATGTATATTAAAGCACCTGCGTGTAGTGTTATAATTAATGTGTTCATTATACATTTAGCATTTGAATGTAAAAAATATTCTCTAATATAAGACTATTTATTGTGCTAAATTTCTCACTAAACATAAATTTAGCATTTGAATGTAAAAAATATTCTCTAATATAAGACTATTTATTGTGCTAAATTTCTCACTAAACATAGCACATGAAAATTTTGATTGAAATATTTACTTTTTCATATTATTATTGTAATTTTTATATTTTTTAATTATTTTAAAAATAAAAATTTACTTTTATAACTTTTAAAGTTTAATGATTATAGAAAAAATAAATTTAACATTTTAAATAACATTATGAATTGAAAAAAAATATAAAAATAACATATCATATCATTCTTTTTAATACTAAATATACAATTCACATTAACATTTATATTAAAAATAGTCGTATACACGCTCATCTTGTTTTGAACCATCCGATTAAATTAAACGGTCTAAATTAAAAGGAACTCACAGTACTATAGTCATTTATAAAAATAAAAAATAAAAAAGAACCGTTTTGTTTTTACATTTTTCCCCAAAACTAGGAGTTCAGACATTCATCTCCAAATATTGGAGGTGAACACTAGTTTAAAATGTTGAGTGCTCTTTTATGTATTTGCCATGTTTGAACATTTTATACTTTCCGAAAAAAATAAAATAAAACAAAGAAGGACATTTCTCTTTTATGACAAAAGAAAATAAACTATTTTTTATTTTTAACTGTTAAATTAATATTAAAAATTAATTGTGTTATTTATTTTTTATCTAAGTAATTTTAACCGAATTTAACAGTAGGACAAAAGTTTTTGTACAAGTGGAATAAATAGATTCCCACAAAATTGGGAGGGAAAAAAATACCGAGAGAACGAAGAACAAAACTCCGTCGTTTTAGCTTTATAGGAGAAGTTAAGTTGCCAGGTCGGCGCAGCCCGTTCAATAACAAACCTTTCCTTCTCTTCTCCGCCTTTGTCGGCCACTCCGCTAACTGAAAATTCTTCGTCTTCTTTCCGTGGTACTCTTTCTCTCTCTCTCTCTATATATGTATCTTTCTCTCTCTTCCGTACAATTACATTTCTACGCACAAAATACTTGTACGAATGAATGTATGTATATGCTTGTACAATTGTACATGTAAACTGTAAATTTCTTGCCTTGATATGGTTATATGAACAGTTACATACTTATTAGTTTCTGTGCAGGTTTCTTTCTTCTTAAATGATTATTTGAATTTAATTTCTTTTTTCAAGTCATGATAATACTTTCAATTTTCGAAACTTGAACGAATTTAATATGTTTGTTCCCATGCTTAATGCTTAATTTAGCATATTGTCCTGTAAAAGTTGAACTTTTTTTCGTTATTGTTTTCTGTTAAAGAAAGGAAATTAGGGAATTTAATCTTCGGTTGGTTTTTGTATTGGGTTCTTGAATTGGAAAAGATGATTTTTTTGCTTCTTTTTTCTTTAATTGTTTTTGAAAGAACAACGTATTAGAGAAATCAATCTTTGTTTCATCTGTGTATAAGGTTCTTGAATTTGGAGGTTATTAGTAGCTTTCTTTATTTATTTATTTTTCATTTTTTTCTTTCTCTATTTGTTTAAGATTGAAAAATGAGAGGAACAAACCGTTGTTATTTATTTTTTTAATCTTTGACAGGTTGAAACTGTTAAAAGATTGTTATTCTTCTGCTATACAACATGGTCGGTAGGCTAATTGGGGCAGTTACAGTTTTTCCATTCACGGGATTAGAGGAAAATTCTTGGGATTTGTTTCGAAGACAATTTTTTCTTAGTTAGAGATTTTAATGGGTTTTCATTTGTGGTTCCCAATTTTATAATTGTAAAAGAACAGGCCGATGCAATTTTCTTGCTGTCTTTCGTTCTTATGATCTAAGCAGTTACATTGGTTTCCATAATAACTGCCTTTTACTGAACTTGTATTAGGTGAATTCCAATGGATAAACCCGTCTCAGATGCTGCAAATGATGCAATAGTTAGTGGTTATAATAACACCGGAGAAGTGGATACTTATAACCATTGTGTTGATGAAATTTCCCAGAAGGTTGAGCGGGTAAGAATCCCTGCTATTTTGTTTTAGAACTAATTTTGCTATCTACACATTCTTGTATACAATTTGTGTAGTCTTTCTCCTGTGGCATGGATTATTCTCGTACGTGTTACATAATATGTTACCCTAGTGTTATTCTTATGCGTCTTGATTGCAGATTGAGCAAAAAATGGATGAGATAGAACAGTGCACCGCTTCTACTAGTAAGAAGCAGGTAAAGGCGTCTAAAGGCAGCTCGAGTGTGAAGGATAAACATATCCCGGGTCTTAAGAAGCATCTTCAAGAAGCATCAAGAATGGAAGCTGCTGCTGCAAAGAGAATGCAAGACCTTATGCGCCAATTCGGCACTATATTAAATCAGGCAAGTTGCTTAGCTACATTGTGTTTTTCATGCTTGGACTTGCGGGTCTTTGATCTCATCATGAACTTATTTCCTTTGGAAATCGAATGTGATGTGCTCCATGATTTTCTTATGTTCTATTAATGCTTTGTAGTATTGTTCTCTCTTTTCTATGATTTGGGTTTCAAGTTGCTGGATGCTTAAGGCACAATTGTACAATTATAGCAAGCAATAAAGTAAATTTTAATTTGTATTCATCTTCACTTGGTAGCAGGTTACACGACATAAGTTTGCATGGCCCTTTATGCAGCCTGTGGATGTAGAAGGTCTAGGTTTGGATGACTACTTTGAGGTAAAGTGTAATGATTTCCTTTCAAATCTGCAAAATGAATTTTGTGTTATAGTCCATGCACTAGGAGCATATGTTGTTGATCCAACTACTTTTACTACATTACTCAAAACATGTAATTGGTGTGCCTTTATAGTTGCGGAAAACAATGAATACACACAATCTTAACAGAAAATTGTAGAGTTAAAATATATTTTCCATGGTTTTTTCAATGTGATTGAAACTAAATGTCTCGGCAAATGAGTACATTATAAAGGATAGTAATGTTGACTTCATAACAGGTCTCCATTGACCTCCTTGTTTTACTTGCATGAGGTTAGAGTTTGGAATTCTTCGCATATTTATTTTACTATCCCAGATGGACTATATTACTGTTTGGGTACAACTGAACAGGGGTTATACAATTATGATCCATAACTTATTTCTCAAATTATTTGTCAAATTAAGATAATTGAGCCATGTTACTTAAGGGTGTCACTGAGATAAGAGGTTGATTAGGATGTTTATCCTGCATACTTAAACTTTATAACTTAGTTTTTCTTTGCTACTAAAATTTTCCATTTCTCAACTTCTGCTAGCAGATCCTTAATTATTTTTTCCCTTGTACTGGATTTCTTCTTTTTCCTTTTAATTGATGTTCTCATATAATTAGGTAATTGACAAGCCTATGGATTTCAGTACAATAAAAAATCAAATGGAGGCTAGGGATGGCACTGGATATAAAAATGTTCGACAAATATGTGCTGATGTGAGGTTGGTTTTCAAAAATGCAATGAAATATAATGATGAGAAAAGCGATGTTTATGATATGGCCAAAACGTTGCTGAAAAAGTTTGACGAGAAGTGGCTACAGTTGCTGCCTAAGGTGTTGGAAGAGGTATTTACAAGTCTTACAGCACAGGATATCCTCATTGTATTTATATATAGAGTAACTTGTTGATTTGTTCACTTTTTAACTTACAGAGCAACATACTTGCAGGAAAAAAGACGAGAAGCAGAGGTGGCAGAGATAAAGTTGATGGAGCAACTTGCTCACGAGGCTGCGTATGCCAAAGTGGCTAGAGATGTGAGCAATGAGGTGTGTTATCAGCAGATATTTGAAATTAATTAAAGAGATCCATGAATATTCTCTAGATTTTTCCAAGCATGTCCAAGACCTTTTTCTCAGTAGCCTTAATCCTTTTTTTTTTTTTTTTTTATAAAAAAATGTGTGTGTGTGTTTTTATTTATTTTTTTATTTTTAGGCAGTCCTCTTTATTTCTTCTTTTTTTTATTTTTTTATAAAATGAAAGTATGATGGTAATCTGGCTTGACTATACATGTATCTTTTCAGCTGAATGAGATTGATGCACATTTGGAGGAACTTCGAGAAATGGTTGTTCTGAAGTGCAGGTTCGATGTTTATCGTTTCATGTGTGTATTTTATAGCTAAATATAAATTGAAACACGGTTCTATCATAGATCTGCCAAGTAATGTGCGTGTTTTTGTTTCCTTGAGTTTTTCAACGGCATTGAAAATCATGTTTACACATCTAAGGGGGAATTGGTTTTAAGGTGATGTATCTTCACTGGCTAGCGAGCATTTATTTCTGAATGAAAAAGAAAAACGTGGATGGAAAAATCGCAAGAGCAATCACATTGTGACACAAATGAAACTCCTTTTCACGTAAGCAACCTAGTTCTGAAGGACGGAAACATCAATCGGTTGGCAAAGATTCAGGAATCTACAATTTCCAACTGTTTCTTGTTTACACCGTGCTTGATATGCGAAATAAATTTTATGAAGTTGAAATTTTATTAGCACTGTTACGCACACTATGAACCGAACTACAGCATGTTCATGGCAGCTTATAGTACCATATTAAGCCTATGGGGATGCATGTTTCTTGAACCAAAAGTAAAGAGGAACTCCGCATAAATGATTGATCTTGCATATGAATCACTAGGTTTTCATATCCACGGTTGTGGAATCTAATACTGAGACCATGGTTTCAGAAAATTTTCAGTAGAAGATAAGAGAAGGATTGGGGCAGCTCTCGCCAGAATGTCTCCTGAAAATCTTACTAGGGCGTTGGAGATTGTTGCTGAAGCTGATCCCACGTTCCAGCCTGCTGCTGAAGTGGTGAACCTCGACATTGATGCTCAGGTCATCATTTGCATATTTCTCAAGTGTTGTCCGCTTTTCTATATACGACATTCGTTGCATTTTTCAACTAAATGGTTACTGAAAGTATTGTGTTCCCTTTGCAGTCTGAATCTACCTTGTGGAGACTTAAATTTTTTGTTAATGATAATCTGGAAGGTGAAGGCGATGGTTCTGGTTTAGCAAGCGTGGACGATGATGACAATAATCGCGAGGAAGATCCTAGCAATGATAACAATACTAACAACATTGACAACAGCAACAAGAACAATAACTATAAGCGAAAAAGGGAGATCTCAGATGCTATTGCCAAAGCTGCCAAGAAAAAGAGGCAAAAACCCAATTCTTGATTGCACTCTGCTAGCTAACAAGGACAGCAGTTTATGTCGCAAATTCGGTTTAAGTTTACCCCGTTGCCTCATTAGACGTGATTCTCAGAATCGGAAAACATGCCTGGAAAGTTCTTCTCAGTGGAAAACTGTCGGCAATCTGATCTCCGCATTCTTGATCTCTAATGGAACTTGCTGTGTGGAGTCGATAGTCGGTCTTACTCTTTCTTTCAAGTCTAACACAAAATATAGATAACATCTAGAGTCAGTAGTGAGTCTTACTCTTGGTTGTTCTCACTTTTTGTTCAAGAAAATTTTCTCCTAGATGGCCATACCTAAATGTTCTCTAACATACTGTTGTTGTAATTGGAAGTTCACTTGTCTTTTGAAGTACTAGTCTTTAGTCTTAGCTCCTACTTCACATGTTTTCACCATTTTACATTTGTTGAAGGTCAAGTCTTCCAATAAAAAAAATGACAAAACTTTGAAAACGACATGGTCTTAGGAAGCAACATCACAAAACCAATAGCATAATCGAAACGACATTAATTTTAAACCACTTTTATAAACTTCAGAAAATTGACTACAATTAGTCCAATGTTTTCTTCTGTTTTGGTTTGACGAGAACGGATAAAACAACGTTTACTGATTCGCGTGGATGCTCACCTTTACGACATGTTGTAGTCAAGTCAGTAATATTGCTTTAGCAAAATTGTTTGAGATGGCAAAATGTTCTACCGCACAAATTAAATCAGAGAAAACGTTCTCAAATTTCTCACGAACGAGCATTCACCGTAATCTATAGGAAAAACAACATCATCCTTGAAACGACGTCAACAGAAAAATGACACTTAACATGGAAGCACAAATATAAATAAAAATGACCAAAGCAAAAAAATTGTAAATATAAATATATAAGATAAACGAAAACAAGCAAAAACAAAACAAACAAACAAAAAAACGACAGCATCCTGAAAACCATAGCAGTAGCCAGTAGTCTACAATTCTACATTGCAAATAATGAAACCAAATTATGAGAGAAATAGACAACGACATCAAATTAAATAGACGACAGCATTATTGCAAACAACCTGGATTATTGAAAACGACAACGACAGACACGAATTAAATTTCATAACGACGCGGTCTTATGAAAATGAAACAACATCCTGGACCGATTAAACCCATGACATAGAGAAAAAACGACATAATCCCAAAACAAATTAGAAAGTATTTATTATTTAAGATTAATTTAAAGTTCTTCAAAAGAATTGGATCATCGTCAAATTTTTCATTTTACGATAAATAAAATAAATGAAAATTTAAGGCTAATTTTTCTATTATAAATGAATAAAATAAATTTAATTTTTCTGTTACGATGAATAAAATAAAATCTAATTTTTTTATTATATTAAAAAATTCTCAAATAAAAAAATATTTTAATTTAAATTAAAAATTTAAATCTGTAAACAAAATGAGGTTAAAAGATAGAACGGGGGAAAGCAAGAGGAGTAATTTTTTTTTTCTCTTTTATTTTGCACAAGCCCAGAAAAAAAGTGCATTTAAGATATTGACACGTAAGAAAACGAACTAGTTCATTTGCCTTGGATTTTTTTTTTCATTGGAAATTTCGAAAATACTTTTTCTTTTTCTTTTTCTTTCCTTTAAGAAGAAAAGAGAAAAGTGGATTTAGCGTCCGCTAAAATACAGAGAGCTGGTACGAAATCTCACTCAATTTGGCGGAACCCACCTCCCAGATTTCCAGAATCTATTAATTAAAATCACTCTTGTAACGCTTTCCTCACTCTACTCTCACTCTCTTCTTTCTCTCCTTCCAATCTACCTGGTAATTTCTCTGCTTTCTTCGTCTTTCTTTTCTCCAATTCTTTGGAATTAATCTGATTGCTTTATCAAATTGCTGGTTTCTTTCGTTCTGCATCTCTATTTCCGTTTCTTTCGATAAGCGTCCCTCAATTTTTTCGCTGTTTGGTTACTAGGAAAATAGCACGGAAACTGAGTTGTCGAATGATGCTTTTGTTTCTTTGGCGATTGAATGGCTAGTGAAAAAGAAAAGAAAAAAAAAGTAACATTTTTTCCCCTAACCTGAATCTATTGAATTTTCTGGTTATATTTAGTTCCAATTTTGTGGCTCTCTAAATTCCAATGAACTTTTGGGTGTCAAGGCGGATTTTTTATTTTATTTTTATTTTTATTTTTTTGGTTTCCTTATTTTATTTTATTTTATTTTTTGATTTCTTATATCTAGGTTTATGTTGAATCTAGTTTGTATTCAGTGTCAATATGGTAATACAGAAGCTGGGTAGGTATGAATTCACGCTAAATAGGTCAGTTCAGTATGTTAAATTGAAGAATTATAGGTTTATTTTTTCAACATTTCTGCTAATGCAATGTCCAGATTCCTATTTGAAATGGGGCTTTCAATGTTGAAAACCTGAATCGAATTATTCATCATTTGAATGCTTGCTTAAAGTTAATAGCAATTTCGTAGGTGATGGTTGTAAATTTTGCTAATTCTGATTAAGAGTGTTGATTTAAAGGTAATATGGAGAACCCTGATGCAAATCAGCTTCCTGAAGTGGATTCCTTGCCTGATGGATTTGTCGATGGCTCCGCAGAGCCTGTGGCTCCTGCAACTCCTAATTTAGAACAAGAGAAGCTTTTGGGTAACCACAAGAAGGGTGATGTCTCTGAAGTTGATTGCTCAAGTGAATCCCTTGACGAGTCTTCCTCAAATGAGTCCCGAAAAATTGAGGGTAGGACAGAAAAGACTCATAAACTGAGAACTTTTCCTGTTGTATTATCTGAATCAGAGATTTTTGATGCTTCAGTTGAGGCACCAAGAAAGGGCTCTGTGGAGCAGTCAGAAGGTGCATTCGTCACACTGGATTTGACTGAATCTTCTGCGGAGGCTTCCGTTGAGGTGTCAGATTGTCGTGGGGAAAAGGAACAACTTAGAGAAAAATGTCAAAGTTCAGAGACACGTAGTCTTCTTTTTCCTTCAAATTTGCATAAAGTTATTTGTTGTGCCTTTGCTTTTGAATTTTTGACACTAGTTTATTGGCCTCACTTATCAGTTTATTGGCCTCACTTATCATCCCTTTTGCAGCCACTGCAGGAGGCTCAGATGTAAAAACTGATATAAAGGAAACGTCTTCACCAGAGATTGCAGATGCTTCGAAAAATAGAAAAGCAGTCAGTGTTTATCGATCTTTGGTTCACATCATGTTAAAAAAGAGTACTGTTATTAGATTATTTCTTAGTTTTATTTATTTATTTTTTGGTGACAAAACTTGCATATTATGATATTAAGATTGTGGGTACATTAAGAAAAATTCGTTATTATTTAGAAACTAGGTAGGTTATTAAGAAATTCTTAAAGTTTTTCTTTCTGAGAACATAACATAAGCTCTTTTACAATTCTAATTTCTAATGGGTATTGTCTCCAGAAACAGATTTATAGTGATTTATGGCTTTGACATGTGATTTGCTCAGTTCCAGAGTGAGAGTAAACTAGACATGCCTAATCTTTGACTGTGTTTTCTGTTGTTTATTTACACGGTATAATATATCTACATGTATGTATTGAAATTAGTCAATTCTAAAGCTTTTTGGTTGGATCCTCTTTACCCAGGAAACCAGTGAGACCAAGCGTAAGAGTGCAAAGCGTACCTTGAAATCAGAAAAAGAGTTCCTAGAGTTCACTTTGAAATATCAGCAAGTTCTTACTGAAAGAGATGCAGGCATGTCGATATATTATATTAATGGTTAATCTTATGGTTACACATGGAGCTCTTCTTTTTGTTTTTCTTTTTGGTAGCCATTGTCGTCTGAGATATAAGCAACACTGTTGCCTAATTAATAAATTTCAGTGTGGTTCACCCTCTTCTTCTTATTCTTTTTGGTAGCCATTGCTGTCCGAGATAAACTTGAGTCATTGTGCCGGGAGCTGCAACGTCAAAACAAAGTGTTAATGGTAGGTATTCTTTTAACATCCCTGGTATTTATTTTTATTGTTGATGTTGGCTAGATGCCCTAAAGTCTGCTTTTGAACTGTAGTATGTAATTTTTGAATCCAGATTCAATACGGATTGTTTCTCTACTGTTATTTTCCTTTTTGATTCGTAATTATGAAACTGATCTATACTGGTAATTATTTGATGCCTAACTGATATTTCTGACAGGATGAATGTAAACGGGTGTCCACCGAGGGACAAACTTTAAGGTTAGACTTGTCAGCTAGGTTCCAAGATGCAATAAAGGTTGGATTTGGATCTCTTTCTCTCTCTGACGTGTGGTTATATTATCTTCCTTTCTTGTATTAACATATCTGGATATTCTACGTCACTTTCTGCATCTTATGCTGCCATCTTTCTTCTTTGGTAGTTCTTCCTATATTTAAGTCCTTTTCTTTAGTTTGCATCAACACCTAGAAGCATGTGAATGATTGGTTTAGCATTGAATTTTTATCCACAATATATACGATATTTTGGTTACCTATTTGAAATGAAGAGTTTCAGTCTTCAAACTACTTTTAACTCTTAAGACTGCTCAGGAAATAGATGTAAGCTGTGAAATTATATTGAGAGCTAATCCTGTAGAGAGAGATATTCTTTTACTTTATTGATGGCAAGTTTATACAAACTCTTGTTATAATTATTACAGCCAAAAATTGCTAAAAGGAGGACATTACAAATGTAATGATTCCGGAAAAATAATTGGAGCAAGATTTCTATCTGTGACTGTAACTTGTAGAATCGTATATTCTGGTTTAGTTGCATATTTGAAGCTTCATATATATGGTCTAGGCTAAAGCCATATATATTTTGCATGGAGCACCAGATGATTTTCCCTTGTTTTACCATATAAGAACCATGGGGCTGATGTCGATGCCTGATATGGATATAAGAATACAGGATAATCTGTCATCATTGTTAGACCTTTGATCAGTGACCTACTGCTTTTGACATCTTGATGTGGATATTTTCTTTGGTTATAGGATGTGAGCAATAAGCTAGATGAGCAAAAGAACGAATGTCTCTCTCAGCTAAAGGAGAATGAGATGTAAGACTTGCATGTGCAACTTTCAACGTTAAAAAAGACAAGAATGAGAAATGAAACCATTTTGCAACTTGAAGCTTGTTATTAAAGGAATTATCTAGTACTGGGACTGTACTAATATCTCCTAGTTTTCTAAATTTAATTTTGCATTTCTCTGTGCTCAGGTTAAGATCTAATCTGAAGCACCTTGTTGAGCAGTATACTCTCTCAGAAAAGCAATTTGAACAGAAGGTAAAGGTCCTTTTAACTCCTTTTGCTGAAGTCAGTCTACTCAGGATAGGAAATTGTTAATGTCATTCTTCATGACTGTTTTATTTGTTTGGATTTGATGCGCAGCTAAAGCAGAAATCACTGGAACTTCAGATTGCTGATTTGAAGATTAAGCAAAATGAGGAGAAACTAGTTCAGGAACAGTCCCAGATAAAATTATATGCAGAACAGGTGTCACAATTACTAGCAACTGAAAAGAATTTGCGATTGCAGCTGACAGCTGATGGAGAAAAGTTTCAACAATTTCAGGTCGAACTTCCCATCTTATGTGTTGCCTTGGCCTTCTATCACTGCTCAAATCATTTACAGAGATAAAAGATTTTCAAATGTTTTGCCTTAAATGACTAGATGTGTAGTCGTCTTAGTAGGCTGAGTACTTGGAACCATAAATGCATACCAGGATTTGTGTAGTTTTAAAGTAAAAGCCGATAGTTTTCAGCATCATGTGTGTGTCATTTTTATTCCCTTGATTTTGTTATTATCGTTTTAACCAAGTGGGTAGTTGTTTCCTATATGTCAATAGTTTCCTTTATTTTAGGTGGTCTACTAGACGTGCTTGTACTCAGCAGGGCTTCCAATGCTTTACCTCAGTTAATAAGTAACCTGTTTTGTATTTTGTTTTTCTAATTTTTTTTTTTTTTTAAAAAAAAAACAGCGAGAAGAAAAGAACTCTTGAATCCATGTCGCATTCTTGACTTTGGAAAAATTAGCCATATTCTTTTGCAAAATGGAAATATTTTGAGCTGTGTGGAAAGGCTTATTAGTAGACGACACGTCTCAAAATGATGATATACTACTGAGAGCTTAAATCCCCCTTTTTTTTGGGAGCTCTTCTGCAGGATGCTTTGGTAAAAAGCAACGAAGTTTTTGAGACATTTAAGCAAGATATTCAAAAGGTATAAATTTTCTTGAATTATGACTGATTAAGGCATACTTTTTATTCATTGTTATGTCAGTGCATTTTTATTAACGAAGCTATTCCCTTTTTCTGCTTGTCACGTATTTAAACATAGATGGCAAAATCTATTAAGGAACTAAAGAAGGAAAATTCATTCTTGAAGAGCAAATCTGAGAAATCAGACATTACTCTTATAGAACTCGTTGACGAGGTAAGTCCTGCTTATATTTGTACAATCTTTCCTATCTATAGTCAATAGTAGATAGAATCTCAAACCTATACACATTCTCTTCCAGTCCCTCGACCACCTCTCACTATTTTGTATATATTCCCGTGTTACCTTACTGGCCACCTGCTTCGAGGATATATCTCATGTTAATTGCCTTTTTTTTTTTCGTGGGCATGTTTATTTCAAAGTGATACTGAAATTGATTTTCCTTTTCATGAGCAGCGCGAGCGGTTGAAAAAACAGTTGGAGAAAACAAAGAAACAGAAAGAGAAGCTTGAATCACTGTGCCGGTCTCTTCAGGCAGAAAGAAAACAAAATTCTATTGGGAGCAACAATTCTGATTCAGCTCTGGTATGAAATACTGATAGAAGATAACAATATTTTTGTTTTGCCCAGAGTATTGTGTTTGTGGTATTGGTTCTTGTCAAGAAACAGTAGAAATTCTCATTATGCATTTCTAATTACAACTATAATGGTTCTGATTATGTCGAGTCATTGCGTCGATCTCTTCAGGCAGAAAGAAAACAGGATTCCGTAGGGAGCAACAGTTCTGAATCTGTTCCGACATGACTAGTGAGGGAATCAAGCATGCTCTTATGGCCCTCGTTTTGTTTATGATTGGCTTGTTGTCAAGAGCAGGAACTAAGGTTATTATTATATATTCAGACTTGTTTTGAAGCATTTTGTGTGTCGCTGTCACAATACCGGCTTAAGGGTAAGGTCATTAAGGCTACTGCCTAATTATTAAGCAAAGGCCCCTTTATTATTAGCCATAAGGGAACTCTCAATTAATTACCTTTGTAAGGTTCAAAATGTTTAAGGGCGTGCTTACAAATTCGGAATTTACATTCAGGAAAAAGAATTAAGTTCATAATTTTGAATTATGGTGTTTATTTTTGTTTGGAATTTAAATGGAGTGGAGTGGGATGTACCTACAATTTAGTGAATAAAGTCGGGACAAATACAGAAGTATCTCATGTGGAATGAGGATTTTCACCCTATATTTGTTTAGAAAAAGAGGAGTATTCCTCTGCACAATCAAATAGAAAATATTCGTTGTCAACAACAGTAAAATTTACAGTAAAAGAGGCTCTAACACCCCGTAATAATGAGTGAAAATTAGGTTAACTGATATCGAAAGCAACAAATACATCTCAACCAGATAGCCGACTCGGACTCCTACAGCTTACTCTACCAAATCCCCCCCTTCAATTTTATCAAATAAGAAAAAAGTAAATAGAAGATCATAAATTTGTCAGCCCCTCAGGCAAAAAACCAACTCACAAAGAAAAGAAAGCCACTTAAAAAAGAAGTAAAATAACTGTATCACCAATGGAACTAGAAGGGCTGTACGAGAGATCAATCATATTTACTATTCTTTTGTCAATGCCTACAAACTAAACCTTATAAAACCTTTCGAGTAAAATTTAAGGGAGTTTTTTCGGTAGTCCCGTTTTACCGGTAGTTTTAGTTTTCGACTGTTGGATCTGATTAAAATTACATCAGATTGAAAAAGTATGTAGAACAGACAAATTCTGATACAGATTTAACGGCTGAAAAATAAGGAACACTAATAGTCTCATTTTTACAGGAACTATCAGAGAAACTCTCAAAATTTAAAAGGAAAAGACAGAGAAGAAAAAGAATTTAAAAGGAAAAGACAGAAGAAAAAGACGTACTCAATCTTGATCATCTAAATGAATTGTATCAAGGAAGGCTTGTTATATCACGGCGAAGAACATTAGACGATAAACAAAGAATGTTAGGGTTGAAACCAAAAGCATTGATAAAATGATCTATTTGTTAACCAATAAATTTTGCGAATTTGGATGCTATAAACATGTTCTCTTTTTATGATTATACCTTGTGTACCATATTGGACAGGTTCTTTTTCTTTTTAGCTTCTACCATGTGGTTACACCACCATAAAAAATAAAAAAATAAAAAAATAAAAAACGTCTTTAAAATTTGGTTTAAAATGGCTGCATTGATATAAAAACTAGCATAACTAGTCTTTTGTTCTTGACCGGTTAACAATTCCTTCATATATAGTCTTCATATATAGTCTTGAATTCTTCTTCTCTATATATTCTATCAAATTTCTATATTTGATGATAATTCATTAAAAATAAAATTTCCGCATGCAACCATAGAGGCGTCATAGAGGGTTAGACTTTTTCCACAAAGTGCGTAGAACCATAATAAAACCACCATCAATCATTCTTCATTGGATGATAAAAAAAATAATAATAAAAAATTCAATGGGGACATATGAAAACATTAGAGATAGTATTTTAGTGAGGGATACAATTATATTTTTTCTTATAAAATAAGGGCACAACTAGAACTATAAGGTTATAAATTTAAAACTTAATCTGAGACAATTAATATAATGTGGCTCCCTTATTGACAAATCGCACCATGCATCATTAGGGTTCAACTGGCTTCTTCGGTCCATGCCACTGGAGTTGTTGCTTCCTCGACTGTTGTCACCATCAAACTCATAGTTTGCCAAATTCTCCCTTTCAGAGGTAGCCATTAGCCCGAAAATAAAAATTCAATCGTTGTGCCCTAGTTCAATTGCTATCGAGATTCAGGGATTTTATATGATTTTCCCTCCAAAATCTTTCTTTTTTCCCCCTCTTCTGACGTGTATAATAGAGGCAATAATTGAGTGTCCACTAATTTAATTAGGCGTGTAAATCGGCCGGGTAGGGTCGGGTTGAGCCGAAAAATTGAGCCGACCCGATCAGTGCGGGTTGAAAACACTTTAGGCTGCGACACTCTCTTAAGTCTACAAACCCGCAACCTTTCAGGTAACCTCGGGTAGGGTCGGGTTACTCGGGGTACTCGGGTTGGTGAAAACTAATTTTAATATATGACTTCATACTTCTTTTAACAATCCAAAAGCATAAACAACAAGGATATGAAATAAAATCTTGAGAAGCAAAATAGTCCATATAAAATAAACAGTTTAATCCAGAATAAACAGTCCATATAAAGATAAATAGTCCATATAAAGATAGTCGCAAAATAGGAAATTTAGTCCACTCCAAACTGTTTAATCCAGAATAATAGCACATTCATTCCCAACTTACCCCTCATGTGTTGCAACAGAATTTGACAAATCTTGAGAAGAGAACATAACAAAAAAAAAAAATCATCAGAATCAAGTTTAGAACAACAAAATAAACAACAAGGAGATGAAATAAATTTTTTTTAAAAAATAAGTAAAACGTAAAAAAATTACCTGACTCAATATCTTCATATTCATTAAATTCTTCCACGTAAATAAGGTTGATGTGCTCACGACTACGCAGCCAATTTTGTGTACAAATCAATGCCTCCACCATCTTGGGGCTCAATGAACTCCTAAAGGGATCGAGGATACAACCTCCGGTACTAAAAGCAGATTCTAAGGCTACCGTTGAAACATGAATGGCAAGAATGTCTCTTGCAACTAGTGAGAGAACCTTGTAATTAGTTGCATTATTCTTCCACCAATCTAAAACATCAAAATTTGACCGAGTTGAGTCCTCCATAGGGTCTGTCAAGTATCTGTCCACATCATTTTTATACTCATTCACATTCTTCTCCTTCATTTTCCTAACAAAGGAGCTCCACAAACACCATTTTCCTTCTACTTCCGTTTTTACCTCCGTTGTACTTGTTGTTGCCGCCTCCCCACTACTTTCATTAGCCACAGATTCACCCTTGTCCCCACTATAAATCTCATGCAGCCGGTACATAGTATCCTTCACATTCTTTGCTAATGTTTCAGAAGTGCAAGAATCATACACTATAGAGAAACAATATATCAAATAATCCATTTTGTACCTAGGATCAAGTACAACAGCCACAAAGAGAAGACAATTTATATTCTCAACATTCCCCCAATACTTGTCATTCTTTTTCATACTCACGGCCATGGATGAAAGCATTGAATCCTCTTGTTTGCTTAATTCAGATAGCTGGTTTTGCATCTCACAAAGCTCATGAAAGTAAGAATTTGAAGTGACATTCAAAGTGGCACTAAACTTCAAAGTTATATCATAAAAAGTCTTCAGAAATTTCACAAACACCTTAACATTCTCCCAATCATCATCAAGTGGCGGGCCAATCTTCCGTTACCCCCCCTCATCTTCCCGAAAATAAGACACAAACTTGTCATCTTCCCCTTCATATCTTTCAAAAGTTTTTGAAACTTAATGGCTGCATCTAACATCATATAGGTGGAGCTCCATCTAGTAGGGACATCTAAGCATACGAGACCTTTGTATTCAATTTTCTCTCGCTCCACACATAACTTGAATTTCAGCAACCTAGCCGGAGAAGACCTCACATACCTCATAGCGTTACGAATGGCAGTTATGGAATCATGTAGGTCTTTTAAACCTTTATTGACAATCAAGTTCACTATATGGGCACAACACCTAACATGCAGAAATTCTCCACCAAAAACAACCTCTTTCCACCCCTTAATCTTCCTTCTCAAGTAGGTAATCATGGAGTCATTTGAGGAGGCATTATCAACAGTCATAGTTATGTTGGTAGCCCGAATTGAATTCGGGTGCGGAAGCGCGGTGGTGCGGGGGGAAGAGGCGGATCGTGTATAACAAAAATTTTCATAAAACTTTTGAGATACTCTATAGATTATATTAATTTATGCACGAATAAATTAATCTCATTAACGTATATATATCAAGAACTCAATCAGGAAAAATACCTGGAAGCCGACTCGGATGATAACTTGAGTTCTTTGACCACGAACAGTCCTTGCTCCAATCTTTGTGTTTAGAAAACCAATGTCTTCCAC